CTTCGACCTCTGCGCGCCGACGTTGCGGTTTGGGTACGCATCTTGAATGATGCGCTGCAGTCGTTTTGTTTGCAACTCCATTCGCACGTTTTGGGCTCTTGTCGACATTGACGTACATGGGTGCGTCGGTACCAGCCCCGTCCACTCTGTGAAACGTTATGAAGCCAGCTGGTGTTCTGAGAGCACGGGAGAGGGTCATAGCGCGGGCTGGCGCGGCGGCTCCTCCCAGGAACGTCATCATGAAGCTGAGGCTGATCAGAAGGCACGCCCGAAGCCCCGATCCATTCTGCCAGTGCTGCTGTAACAGCCTGAGGAGCGATGGCACGCGGGGCTCCGTGAACAATGTAGGGTCTGGAACTCCTCCCCATTCCGCCAGTTTCTAGGTGTCGAAGGGAACGACGGCCTCTGCCAATGCCAAAGTCTGCCCCATGGCTTTCAACTGTCGCCTCATTCGCTGTAGATCGGCTTCCACACGCTCAGCTCTGGATTGAAGGTCGTGGATGCTTTTGTCGTGCACCCCCAGGTGCGCAGCATTGTCTGTTGAACGAGAGGAACTCCTGCACCTGGACATTGCAGGCATTCTGTTGTTTTTTGATGAGCTGGCTAGCTGTCGCAGAGAGTTGAGCCGTCGCCGCCGCGGCCTGATACTTACTCAGCGCCGCCAGCCTCTGTTCAAGCCCAGCAAGATCGGTAGGACGAGCGGCAGGATGAGCAGGGGGTGTAGCAGTGCCTTCTGCGTCAGCAGAGATGTCACCCGATGCGCCGCCTTCGCCAGCAGCAGGGACTTGCGAAACAGAAAAAAATAGCGAAAGCGACAAATTCTTGGAGCAAGCCAGCTTGAGCTCGTGGGGAGAGAGGACAAAGCTTCGGCCCAGCAGCAGCAGCGGGTCCGCCACTAGCACCAGCACGTCCAGCAGGACTGGGTGCGGTATGAGCCCTACGATGTGAGTGCCATCGCCCATGTTGAAAAAACGGGTCTGGCCGTGCCGAAGATGGACCTGCTCGCACGGGGCGCAACGCGCTCGTCATGTTCTCTTCAACCATTACGCTGGTCCCGCTCTCGGTCTCGGCCTTCTGAATGCCGATCTCGGTCTTCACGACGGTCTCTGTTTCGCCTATCACGATGCCGGTCTCCGCGAGGTCGTCTCTGTGATCCAGTGCGTTCGCCGCCACTGCGGCTCTTGGAATAACTAGCAGCTGTTCGTCGCCTATCACGGGGGGCTGGATGACGTCTGCGAGCGTCACTGGGGAATTGCGATGCTTCGCCACTGGAAGCCATGGGAACTGCGTGAATGCGGGGCTGCGATGTTTGTTGCCAGCGATGAGCCCCGATTATGTACCAGCGATCCGTGCTTGTGGCGGTCGGCCTGCACGAACGTACACGAGCGGGAGGAGCGAAGCGGCAGCCTGCTGTCGAACGGCAAACAAGACAGCACAGCTATGGAGGCCAGCGACGCAGCGCGTCAGGAAACTGGACTTAGGATATGTACTGTCTGTGGTGGAGCAGGACTTCGATATGAAAGACAACTGGGCTGGATGGTAGACTGGGAGCCTGCCCCGCTGAGGCAGTGAGTGGCACCATGTTGGCCTTGAGCCAACATCGCTTGAGGCAAAATTGCTACGGAAGGAAGAGGAGGAGGAGGAGGAGGAGGAGGAAGAGGAGGCGGAGGAGGAGGAAGAGGAGAAGCAGGAGGACAGGACATCTTGGGAGCCTCTGGGGGCACTCCTGGGGCCTCCTGGGAGCTTCCTGGGAGACTCTTGGAAGCATCTTGGGGGCCTCCTCGGGCCTCTTGGGTGCCTTTGAAGGCTTCTCGGGTGCCTCTTTGGCCGTCTCAGGGCAGTCCTGGCCGCCGTCGGAAGCCGTCTTGGGAGCCTCTCTGGGACGAGTGGAAACCCTCTTGGGGGTGCTCCAGGGCCGTTTCGGAGGCCATCTTAGGCATCTTGGAAGCCTCTCTGGGCCGACTGGGGGCCTTCTTGCGGTGTCCTAGGGCCGTCTTGGAAGGCATCTTAAACGTCTTGGAGGCATCTTGGGACGTCTTGTCGCCCTCCTGGGGTCGTCTTGGGGGCCTCTTGGGCCGTTCTGGGGCCATCTTGGAGGCCTCTGGGGCGCTCTTGGGGCGATCTTTGGGAGCTCTTGGGCTGTCTCGGGCCGTTGGGGGGTCGAAAAGAACCACATGCCCAAATCCTTCAAAATCTTGAGGGGAATCAATGGCTTTGGCCTCTTCGGGCCTTCCTGGAGGCACTCTTGGGCCGTCTTGGGCCATCTTAGAGCCATCTTGGGCCGTCTTGGTGGGCTCCTGGCCCGTCCGAGCCCGTCGAAGCTGTCTTTGGGGCTTCTCTGGGCCGACTGGGGCCCTCTTGGGGTGCTCCAGGGCCGTCTTGGAGGCCATCTTGGGCATTTTGGGAGCATCTTGGGCCGTCTTGTCGCCCTCATGGGGTGGTCTTGGGGGCCTCTTGGGCCGTTCTGGGGCCATCTTGGAGGCCTCTTGGGCGCTCTTGAAGCGATCTTTGGGGGCTCTTGGGCCGTCGGAAGGTCGAACAGAAGAAGCAAATGCCAAAATCCTTCAAAAACCTGAGGAAAATTATCCCGGCAAAGCAACCTAACAGCGATGTGTAGGAGCATATCTGGAAGCATTCCCCTTAAGATTCAGATGAGAATCCAGTTGTAGAATTCTGCTGTTCTCGCAGTCGTAGTCGCATTCGCGATGACAGTCGCAATGGCAACGGCAGTCGCAGTCACAGCCTCAGCCTCAGCCTGCCTCAGCCTCAGCCTCAGCCTGCCTCAGCCTCAGCCTGCCTCAGCCTCAGCCTCAGCCTGCTTCAGCCTCAGCCTCAGTCTGCCTTCAGCCTCGGCCTCAGCCTCAGCCTGCCTCAGCCTCAGCCTGCATCAGCCTCAGCCTCAGCCTGCCTCAGCATCAGCCTGCTTCAGCCTCAGCCTCAGCCTGCCTCAGCCTCAGCCTCAGTCTGCTTCAGCCTCAGCCTCAGTCTGCCTTCAGCCTCGGCCTCAGCCTCAGCCTGCCTCAGCCTCAGCCTGCCTCGGCCGCAGCATCAGCCTGCCTCAGCATTCAAAATGTGGCCCAGGAATGGAGTTCTGGGAACTAGAAGAACACGAAGTGGCCTACAGTTGGCTCCGGGCATTCAAAATCATGCCCAGGAATGGAGTTCTGGGAACTCGAAGAGCACGAAGTGGCCTACAGTTGGCTCCGGGCATTCAAAATGTGGCCCGGGAATGGATTTCTGGGAACTCGAAGAGCACGAAGTGGCCTACAGTTGGCTCCGGGCATTCAAAATGTGGCCCGGGAATGGATTTCTGGGAACTCGAAGAGCACGAAGCACGAAGTGGCCTACAGTTGGCTCCGGGCATTCAGAATGTGGCCCGGGAATGGAGTTCTGGGACCTCGAAGAACACGAACATGGTAACTGTTTGCTTAAAACGACTTCCGCGGATTCTCCCCGGCACCCGTCCGGCATCTGCCCAGACCCCCCTGGGGAGTCAAGATGCTCTCTTTTGAGCCTACTAGAAACCTATCAGTCTTCGCTGTTAGGTAATAAATGATTTGGGCCTATTGGGGCTCCCTTTGGGGGCCTCTTGTGCCTCCTGGCGGCCTCCTGGGCCATCTTGAGACAGTGTTGGGCCATCTTGAGCCTGGGAGGTTTCTTGGACGAACTTCGAGACATGTTGGACTCTCTTGAGCCATCTTGGAGGCCATATTGGACCATATTGGCCAAACTTGGATGCCCTCTTGGCCGTCTAGGAGGCTATCTTGAGCCGTCTTGGAGAATTGTTTGCGGACATTGTGGTCGTTTGCGCTAGATTGTGCGGCCTTCCAGGTGGCCAGCGGGGCAGGCTGAAGCCCCACGGGAGAGCCCTTTTGGAAAAAGGAACAAAGCCAAAACCGGTAGCGTCTAGCACGCCACGCCGGTCACCCCTGTGGCAAGACCAGAAGGGGCGGCGGAAAACAAGCATCATCATCTTCATCGTCATCGTCATCGTCATCATCATCGTCAGCATCATCATCATCATCATCATCATCATCAGCATCATCATCACCATCATTATTAGCATCGCCATCATCGTCATCATCATCAGCAGCAACATCATCATGAATCAGCGTCACGATCACCATCAACACAACGATAGTCATCGTCATCACCATCATCATCAACAACATCATTAGCATGGTCATCATCACCGTCATAATCGTCAGCGCCCCCAGCATCCTCACACTCCTCATCATGCACATCACGGCTCTCCAAGCCTGGAGACACAAGGTGCCACACATGACGGCCTCCCGTGCCCCGTCGGACAGTCGCCACCCAGAATGCTTGGCTGGCACGGTGGCGGGACTTGCTGCAGGCAGCTGGATGTCGAGCGACGCGTGTGTCTGGAAGGCGGATTGCTGCCAGCACTCAGGCGAGATCATTCGTGAGAAAGCTGTAGACGTGACCCAGGCTATTCCTGCGCCTAGGGGCCGACCAGCGGGAGACGGGAGCTTGAAGGGAAAGGTCCGTAGAGCTTTTTGAGGCTCTAAAGATGCGCCGACCGTTGCAAATCTTGGGCGAAACTGTATCAGATAACAAAGAGTTACATACACATGTGGTCCACGGGGCAGATCATGAAGCATCGTTCAGTGCACACGATAAGAGGAGACCGCTAGTGATAGATTCAACATGCGAGTGTAATGATGCCATGCGCGGTTCCCAAAGAATTCAATAGCGCAACAAGAGCATGACCCCATGTAAATGTGAGTGTGGAAAACCATACGTGTGAACTCCGGGAGCGTGTGCGTGGAACCCTGCGTACAAATGTAGACTTCCATGCGGGTAGAACCACACGTGTGTGGAAGTCCATGTGCGTGCGACCCACAAAACCTATGGTGGGAGAACCCGCATAACTAGATCTACAGGGACACAGAATATAGGGTTTCAAATAGCTTGGAAACTGCAACAATACAACGATCAGCTCTATGACTCATGGGTTGGCAGATGTTGCGTTCAGCCTGGAGGAGACAAGTCCGCTGGATGACGCCGTCTGAAATTGTGACCTCGAACCCACTGTTAGCCTCCCTGTCGATCCAAGTGCCGTCGATCGAGCTGACTGCGAGAGCGCTGAACGCCTTCCCGCGCGAGTCAGCGTAGGGTGGTACCCTGCAGCGGGGTGCTGGCTGGACCAGCAAGAGACTGGGGGATATCACCTCGATGAGCACGCGCCCGGCTGAGCCAACCGTCGCCTGCCACAGCCTCTGCGCACTGTCGTACATCACAGCGCAGCTCTCGGTCCCGCGCTGCAGCACCCGATCGCGCAAGAACTGCCACTCCACACTCTCCACTTGCCGGGAGTCAAACTCCGCCCACTTGTGGTGCACCAAGACGTCTTCCCACAGACTCTCGCTGCCGAGGTCGAGATCCGCCTCGTCCACGCTAGCTCCGACACAGATTGCGCGCAGGTCGCTGCGGAATGTGGCCAGCCAGCCTTCCAATTCCCCAAGAAAGCCCGTCAGGGCTGCAACTTGGCGCGACTGGTCATGAGAGGAATGCTGGGCCTTCTTGACCAGTTTGTTGACCTCGTCACTCCAAGGTAGGCGGCCATCACCGTCTCCACGACAGACCAAGCTTCTGCTCCTCGTGAACACGCTGATGAGAGATTGTAGAACGCCTTGGGTACCATCAACACTCCTTCTTGGCGACCTCCTCAGCCTCCTCTTCCTCCTTTTCTCCTACATTCCCTCCTACTCATCATCCAGCCTTCACTGGGCCCACCCCAGGCCCATGATTGGTTCACGGATTCCTTCTTGTATGGGGATGAGAAAGTGAGAAGGAGGTGGAGGGGGCAGGGGGGCAGCGGGTGTATTGCGAAATATTACGAAATACACGAATCATACTGCGAAACAAACCAATCATGAAGAGAAGCATTGGCGACGGAAAGGTATGATGTTTGCACTGCGCGTCGAAAAGTCGAACATCCGAAAGATTTGACGCACGCGCTGGAGGAGTAGGAAGGAGGACGGACGAGGAGAAGGGGGAAAAAGGGAGAATGGGGGCAGAGGGACGAGGAGCAGCAGCAGCAGCAGCAGCAGCAGCAGCAGCAGCAGCAGCAGTTGGGAAGGCCAGCAGTTGCGCCAGGCAGCGGCCCAGGACGGGTCCAGCGAATCCTGGCGCCGACGTCGATTTGATGCCCCCCGATGCCGGACTGTCGAGAGTCGGGGAGCAGGTTCGCCGTCAGCGTGGCGAAGGTGTGCTGCCACCTCCCTCCGCCCTCCTCCCTCCCCCTGCTCCCCCCGCCCTCGTTCCCATCCCCGCCTCTACTCCCGCCCCCCTCCTTCAGCTCAGCTCACCTCCATTTCCTCATTCCCCCCTCCTCCCTCCCTCCCTCCTCCCTCCCTCCCCTGCCTCATTCCCCCCTCCCCCCCTTCCCTCCGCCCCTCCTCCTTCCGTCCCACCTCCTCCTTCTCCAACCTCCCTCCATCAGTCCTCCTCCTCCTCCTCTTCCTCCTCCTCCTCCTCCTCCTCCTCCTCCTCCTCCTCCCCCTCCTCCTCCTCCTCCTGCTCATGAAGGCGTCGAACGCCGCAGGAATGCGTCGGCAAGACGACCACGGGGCCAGAACTGAACCACACACCCTCCTCGACCTCCTCCCCCTTCCTCTCCCTCCTGCTCCTCCCTCCACCATCATCTGCCCTCCCCCCGCCATGCTCGATCCCCGCCTGCTCCGCCTTCCCTGTCCTCAGCCCCTGTCTCCGCCTTGCGCGCCCCCCTGCTCCATCCCCCTCCTCCCCAAACTCTTCTTCCATCCCTCTCCTCAATCCTCCTTCTCTCTAGCTCGTAGCTGTCCCTCCTCCTTGCTCCCTCCTCCATACCCTCCTCCTCTTCCACTCCCCTCCCCGACCCTCCCCCTGAAGAGCCTTCAGCCTTTCCTCTGCCTGGACGCAAACTACAAGACGCAGGAGAAAGGCAACGCTAAGCCTGAATGATGCCAATGTCTGACGTCCCAAGTCTCCGAAAGCCCCCGAGGCAGAAGTCTAGAACAAAAACACCACGACTATAACAACGACCATACGCAAGATGTCTTGGGATGACCAAAGAAACAGCACCAACTGCCCGAACCTCCGATGCTGTGATTTTGTAGCATGCGGGGCACACAGGAAGTCCTGACACCTTCCCCGAGGTCAGTGTTTCATCCTTTTTCGATCCAGGAGCCCGGAAAAAAGGCCCCCAGATGTGGAACATGACGAGCAGCCGCCGTCTCGCTTCTTACAAAAATCGCCAGATGCCCGATTCCTGCGAATGGCCGAAGGCGCTAGCAGGCGTGCGCCGCCACGCCGAGCGGCGCGCGGCTGACCAAAGAATGCATCAGTAGTCGGTCAGTTGACGTCTCGGAGCTCCAGTCGCTCGCGGCATGCAGGTCTCGCGCCAGAACTGCCGAGAGAACCTCCAGCAAGCCTTCGGCCGTCAGATGCTGCTTGAGCTGGCGGCGCCAGGAAGGGGCGGCGCGAGGCGGCGGCCGTCTAAAAACGCGGAGTGGAACTTTGGGGAAAGCGGGGGGGGGGGGCTCTTCGAAATCCGCCGGCTTCTCTAAGAGACCTTCGAAGCCTCCCGAGCCTTCTCAGAAGGCCCCCTGCCTTCTACGAAGCCCTCCGCCTTCCTGGGAAGCCATCCCTCTCGCGCCACCCCACACAGGGGACGGCCAAAAGCAAACGAGCGGACAAGCGAGCGACGAAAAGAAGCGGGCCTCACGCGAGATGGCATAGCGACATTACGCGGTCACTCGCGTGGATGGCCAGCGCGGCACGTTACACTGGAGACGAACGCGCTCATGCGCAAACTTCCGCGGGCAGCTTCTGCGCACATGTCCACGCAATCGAACCCGTTTTCGTGCGTCGCTCACGTGGTGGTCAAGCAGGGCCCCCGCTCGGCGCGCCTGGCCGCATCCGCCTCGCTGGCGCCCGCCGACGCGCCCACCAGGCGCACCGGCACCTGCCCAGCGAAGAGCCTGTGCCAGGAGGCGGGGATGGTTCTACATCCACCGCTTGGGGAAGCGACGTCCTGGGACTTCAAGGGGCGGTGGGTATGGATGTGCTGATGATCCCCAACAGTGTTTGCACTTAGTTGTTTTTCAGATCCACCAGCCTCCCGAGGCCAGAGTTATCACTACCCCACGGGATGTGTAGTTTAGATACGATTACCCCCCATCGCCCATCATAAATATGAACTCGTGCCATCCCAGCCAGGCCGGAATTCGCACCCCCCCTCATCCGCTGCAGATTCTACGCGCGCGCAATTATTACAAATCGGCCGTTGTGGAACGAAGTCTGCACGCACGCGACGTCGGGGATCCTTCAAAAACCTAGTGCTTCGGAGAAAATCGAAAACGAGTGTCCCGAAAACATGATAAAAAAATGCTTCGCAACAAAAACTCAAAACAAATGTTCACTCGCGTTCTTGCGAATTTCTCAACCACGCGATTTTCAACATGTTCATAAGATGCTACCAAAATGGGCCTCCCGCGCGCGCGTGTCGAAATCGTTCGAACGCCCTTGCGCGCGTGTTGTCACAAGAATGGTTTGAACAAGAACAAGACGAAGCGCACACGCGCAAGTCCTCGCGCGCGCATGCCCAAATCCTTCCAGCACCGTGGAGTTCGGACGCGTTCCAAAATAAAAATCGTCGGTCACAAATGAAAATACACGGTTGATCAACGTCCGTCAAAAAGAAAAATACTCTCGCGGTTTTGCGGATCCAAAAACAACCCTCGGATTGGATCATTGCCACTGAATTCTGCCAAACGGGCCTTGTCGCGCCGCATGTCGACACCATTCAGATGCATTTGCGCGCGTGCTGGGAGGGCACGGTCCGCGTCAAATATAATCATGCGAGCCATTATCGCGCGTCGGCCGCGCGAGCATGTCGAACTCTTTCCAAAATCTGCATTACCGACGCAAGGACGCCGTCAGTGTCGTCGTCGTGATCAGCATCGGCACCGTCACTGGCCATGTTAGTGTCATCACCGTGCCTACCGCTGTCCACATTGCCATGATACCGCGCCCGCCAAAGCCACCGACTCGCACGGAAGTGCCCGCTGGGACGTGCCTGGTGGTCAGCGTTACCGCGGCCGCGTCGGTCGCGCCAAACGGGCTAGCCGCCTGCGCGCGCAAACATGCGCTGGCTAACGCGGCCGCAGAAACGCACCAGCCAACGACAAACATTCATGGCAATCGCCGCCGCATGTGTTCTGCAAAAAGAAATGCGGGTGGGCGGGTGGGGCGATTGCGCGAGCAGTGGAATTGACAACTGCAAGTTCCTCAAGCGAATGTCACCACATTGGTTGCACAACGTAGAGACTGCAGCACATGAAATGCACAAGGTATGCCGCGCAAAATCAATCAAACGTTAATAAGACAATATAAATTGTACTACGTGGGCTGCACAACACACACCGCACCACATGGAAGTGCACGACACAGATTGCGCTACATGGATGGCACCACATAGATTGCACCATCGATATATACACATTTATACACGCATGGACATATGTGAACATGAAAGCTGCACATGATGGATGGCCTCGCGTAGATTGCACAGTGAAGATTGCATCGCGAAGAACGCACGACGTCTACTACACCACCTAGATTGCACCACGTAGAGTGGACCACGTAGAGTGCGCAACACATGCTGCACCACATATATTGCACCGCGTAGATTGCATCACGTTGAATGCGCACCGTATATTGCGCAATATAAATAGTTGCTCGTTTTCCTGTTTGCGCCAGAAAGGCCCCCCCCCGAACTTAACGGCGCGCCTTCTCGAACTGCAAGTTGCGCGCTGTTCTGCCCCGTCGCCCATCCCAAAACCTGAGCTCAAATCATCCCAAAGAGGCCAGAGTTCGACCCCTCCCTGCACAAAAAAAACTACGCGCGCGCACTTGTTTATCAAAAATCACCAGAGTCCAAAAAGTAGTCGCGCATAACTGGACGAAGCGCACGCGCGCGCGTCGTCGAGCACGCGCGCCAAAATCTCCCCTAAAACCAACAAGGTTTCGTGCGAATTCCAAACATCGAAAGTCAGAAGCACGCGGTTTCGCAACGTGGGTTTTCAAAGAAAGCCCGCGCCCGCGCTCTTGATTCCAAGCGGGCTTCTCGCGCGCGCGCGCTGACATCGTTCGAACGCCCTTGGGCCCGCGCTGTCGCAAGAACGCCTCGCAACAGAAACAAAACGAAGCGCGCGCCCGTCGGCGCGCGCATGCCGATATTCTTCAAAAACCCACCATGTCGCAAGGGCTTCAAAAACAAGCGCCCCGAAAACCTTCAAGATAAAAGACAAGTTGTCTTCGGCGCACCAGTTTTCGAAATAATCGTGCACTCGCGGGCTTGCGGGCTCGAGCAATAACCGTCGATGTTCATCAGGCTCTGCCTGGCGGGACTCCCGCGCCGCGCGTCGAACTCATTCGAACGCCCCTGCGCGCGCGCGATCAGTGTCCGACGATGCCGATCGGGCCCGTCGCGGGCGTCGGCCGCGAGCGCAAGTCGAACTCCTGCAGCGACCTTCATCGCCGACGCGAGGACATCGCCATCGTTACCGGCGGGCGCGATCAACCTCGGCGCCGCGTCGCCGCGACGACGCGCCCGCCCAAGTCACCGACTCGCCCTGAAGCGCCCGCTGGGAAATGCCCAATGTTCAGTGCCACCACGGCAGCGTCGGTCGCGCCAAACCAGCTGCCCGCTGCGCGCGCGAGCATGCGCGGGCTAGCGCGGCCGCGGAGAAACACCAGCCAATGCCATGCAGCCATCGCAATCGCCGCCGCATGGGTTCTGCAAACCCATAAGGGGGTGGGTGGGCGGGGCGTCTGCAAGGGCTTGGATTGTCAACTCAAGTGAAAAATCTGTTTTCCTTTCTAAACAGAAAATAAGTTCTACCCCCCCTACCCCACTGGGGTTAAAAACCACCCGGGGACCTATGCAAAACACAAAGAGTTCCGACCCACTGTTCATCCGACCTGTGAATTCAGATTATCCCCGCCAACCCGGCATCGACCCCCCCCCGCCATCCTCTGGAAAAAACAACGCGCGCACCCGTTCATTCAAAATCATACGTTTTCAAGAATCCATTGGAATAAATATGACGAAGTGCACGCGCGCGCGTCGTCGCGCGTGCATGTCGAAATCCTTTGAAAAATCTCTTGATTGCGGGAGGATTCCAAAATCGAGCTTCAAAAAAACATACATATACATACGTTTTCTCAACACTGGCTTCCTGAAAGAAACGTACGCGCGCGCTCTTGCGAAATCTTGAGAAAACCATAAGTTGTTCAACACTTCCCAAAAATACTACCAACTTGGCTTCGCGCGCGCATGTCGAAATCGTTCGAAAGCCCTTTGTGCGCGTGCCGCTCTGCAAAGAACGGGGCGACATGCACGCGCGCACGTCGTCGCGCGCGCATGCCGAAATCCTTCAAAAACCTCTGGTATCGGAAGGATTTCAAAATCGAGCGTCCAAAAAACATGCAAAAACAAAGGGTTCCGCAATACATACTATCAACAAAAAGTGCGCACGCGCTCTTGCGTCGTCGTCGTCGTCGTCGCCGCCCCTCCTCCCTCGTCGTCGTCGTCGTGGCCGTCGTCGTCCTCTGTCTTTCCTCGTCGTCGTCGTCGTCGTCCTCTTTGGCGTCGTCGTGGTTTCCGTCGTCGTTGTCGCCGTGGTCGTCCTTCTTCCTCCCACGTCGTCGTCGTCCGTCGTCGGCATCTCGTCGTCGTCCCTGACATTTCGTCGCCGTCGTCGTCGTCGTCGTCCTCTTCCCTCCTCCCTCGTCGTTGTCGTCGTCGGCGTCGCCGTCCTCCATCCTTCGTCGTTCGCGTCGTCGCCGTCCTCCCTCCTCCCTCGTCGCCGTCGTCGTTGTCGCCGTCGTCGTCCTCCCCCCTCACTCGTCAACGTCGTCATCTTCGTTGGCGTCGTCGTCGTCTTGGTCGTCGTCGACGACGACGCGTCAACGTCGTCGTCGTTGGCGGCGGCGTCGTCGTCGTCGCCGTCGTCGGCGTCGTCGTCGTCGTCGGCATCGTCGGCATTGTGATCGTCGTCGTCGTCGTCGGCGTCGGCGTCGGCGTCGTCGTCGGCGTCGTCGTCGTCGTCGTCGAAGTCGTTGGATACGCCGGTGGTGTCGTCGCAGTCGTTGCCGGCGGCGTCGTCGTCGTTGTTGTCGCCGCCGCCGCCGGCGTCGGTGTCGTTGCCAACTGCCATGCGGTACCTACCGCCACGGTCTTACGAGGTCTTGCAACCATGTTGCGGGTGGGAAGGTGGAATGTTTGCACGAGCAGCGGAGAAAACAGCAAGTGATTGATTGCACCACTTAGACCGCACCACATAGCTTGCGCAATATATATATATATACACACACATAGATTAAACCCCGTAGTTTGCACCACATGGGCTGTGCAACGTATACTGTAGCACATAGAGCGCAAGCCATATATTCTCCTTTTTCAAAAGAAAATAGACTCTACCCCCCCCCCCGGCGTTATCGCCCCCCTTTTCGGGTATGTAAATCACATATAATTATGATCACATGTCCATCTTAAATATGAAATCGCAATGTCCCAGGCCAACCGGCATCCCCCCTGAGGTTCCCTTGTAAAAAACACTATGCGGTGACATTGTTTTGTTCTAACATAACACTTGTTCACGATACCGTTGCAAAAAAAATGGACAAAGTGCACACGCGCGCGTCGTCGCGCGCGCATGCCGAAATCCTTCAAAAACCTTCGGTGCCGGAAGGATTTCGCAATCGAGCTTCCAAAAAAAACATACAAAACCACAGGGTTTCGTAACACTGCTGTGCTAAAAAAGCTTACGCGCGAGCTCTTGCGAAATCTTGGGAAAACCATTGGTTTTTCAAGATTTTCTCAACATGCTACCAAACGGGCGTCGCGCGCGCATGTCGAAATCTGTCGAACGCCCTTGCGCGTGTGCCGTCGCGAGAATCCTCACCAAAAAATGAA